ATTTCTCTTTTGGTTGTGAAGGTAGTGGGGTTAAGGTGTGGGAGGGGTAGGGATTGGGGTTAAGGATAAGGTATCGCATTTAAAGATTAAAGTTCTGTTTGAGCACACAGTTATCTTCTAATATGTATAAAGTCATGTGGTTAATATTCATTCCTTAAGTATAGCACTTTGCTAGTTCTTACAGAGAATATAAAAGAAATAAAGAATACATCTCACTTAATATAGCTCACTTAATTGTCACCACAGTCCTGAGAGGTCGTTATCACTATTCCTGTCTTACAGAGAGGTTAAGTAGCTTTTCCAAGGTTACAAAGCTTCTAAGTGACAGAACTAGGATTTGAACATAGGTCTATTTTGATTTTGTTTCAGAGATGAAGAGGCAGCACTGTGAATGCGGACAGGGAAGTTTGCTATGTAACTTTGAATCACAAGGTGATCTCATTGTATATAAACTATGTGAAAATAATTCTGCTTTCACCACTGCCCCCCCATTTGGTCTTTATCACCACATATGAACCCACACCAAAGTTGACTTTGATTACCACTATCTTTAATTATAGAGGGAAGACACAGTTGTGTTCAGTCATGCTTAAACTCATGTCACACTGATGAGGGTTCCCTCTGTTTCTTAACTAGTCTCTCCCAAAATGCCAATCAAAAAATGTCAAAATTAACTGCTGATTTTAATTATGTTAAGAATTTGGGGTTTATACCATACAAATGAATACACTGCTCTTTATATTGGTTGACTTTTTCACATAAATATGCCCATTTCTCACAGAAATGAAAACCAAGTTGCAAATCTCGTCAGTGTGTTAACAGAACTTGGTTTCAGAAAACCCTGGGTTCTCATCCCAGCTCTTTTTGATCCCAGCCATGTGAGCTGGGAGCTGTCCTTCAGTCTTGCCAAGTCTCCGTCTTCCACCGTAATGTTAGGAGTAATACTTAGTCCTGTGTCTATAGTACAGGTGTTTGTGAGAATCTAAAAAAGTGTTAAAGTATTTTTAAAACCATAAGGTAGTGTGCAATTTTACGGTATTATTAATTCAGTCATTCTACAAATACGTGTTCCTGTTGCCTAGGAGTACATGTGTGAAAAACATGGCTTCCAGCCTCCAAAGAGTCTTGTGGGAAGACTGACATGCAGACAGGTAGTGTGCTGCAGTAGGTGTGATGGGGGTGTGTACCAAGTACAAGAATCTAAGGGAAAGAGCCCCTGAGTCTATCTGGTGCGACCAGGGAGGACTTCACAGAGGAGACGGTGTGAACTGAGACTTCAAGAATAGAAATAGTTTGCCCTGATGAACTAAAAGGGGAAGAGAATTACAAGCAGAGGGAAAGCATATTTGAAAACCTAGAATAATTTACTCCATCTGAAATTGGAAGCACAAGGTAAAAAGGTAAAGACAAACAGGCAAGGGACAAATTATGGAGAGCCTTTGAATACCATGCTAAGGAGTTTAGATTATGTATGGGAGGAAGCATAAAGTCACTGAAGAATTTTGAGCAGACTTTTTGTCATGTTTCTGCGCTGTGGATTATTGGCATGGGCCAGGGAGCAGGGAGTGGAGAGAAGGAGGCTCTTGCAATTATCCAAGAGAGAAAGTATAAAGAGAGTAGAAATACAACTGCTAGATTTTATGCCTGAGTGACTGGCAATATATTAAAAAATAAGGAAATCCTACATGGATTTGGTTTTGAGGGAGACCTTCAGCTTCAAGTAGTGTCATTATGACAGGTCATTTGAATGATCGTTTGAAGGAAGGAGAGATCCAGCAGGCAATTAGAGAAGCAAAACAATATGTCTGTGCTAGAGATGTCACTGTGGTGAGAGCTGAAGCCAGGAGACCTAGGAAATAAGAGGAAATGGGAAATAAAGCAGAGAAGTTACATCACTGAAGGAAATGGGAGAAAAAGTACCAGGGTGGTGTCACAGATGTCAAGAGAAGAGAGTTCCAGGGGAGATAGTCAATAAGGCCTAATGCTGGAGGGAAAAAAGAAAAAGCTCAAAGGCTAAAAGACAACCAATTAAGAGGCTGCTTGTAATCTCAGAATTGCAAGGCTAGGAGTGAAAAGGAGTAACGTTTGGAAGTGAGCAAATAATTAGAAAATAGAAACAAACACAGACAAGTGTAGTGTAACACATTCAGACGGTAGGTTAGCTGGTGGCGCCATTTCTCATCAGAACAGTAAGGGACAGATGGAAATGCCAGCATATAATATAAATTGCTGTTTTTCTTCGTGTCCTGAACACCATAAACTCCAAGTCCATTGAACTGATCAGAACCATTCTTTCATGAATACTGTGATATGCTTGTGTCCAAAAGGAAATGAACTGCAGTTGTCATCTTCATCTTTGCCTTGATTCATGTTGCTTGCTGTTTCTCCTTAGTGCCAGATCAACAACAGTAAACACAAGCACTATCCTCTCTAGCTAGCTGGAATGCGTACTAAAGAAATACAAACATTTTACCAGGATTTCTTAGTTATGGTAGTAAAATGAAAGCACTAGGGCAACGTCAGTTCTGTGTCTAATTCATTTCCTTGTCAGATGTGAGTTTTTTATCTTAACCCTGATGAGCATGGCCTGAAGCGTAGGTAGTAGGTCAGAGGCCTGTATTTAGGGGTTCTAGTATTATGTAACTGAGTCTATGGATGAGTCACTTAAAGTAACCGTTCTTACACCAGGGAGGCTACAGTAATTTCAGTGTTAATAACTGGATAGGACTTTGAGAACTTGAGATAGGACACTTCATAAATGTTGCATGTCATCTTCTAATATGCTCTGTTAAAATAGCCTACCAACTAAATTGGGCTTTCAAAGGATAAATAAAAGTTCAGTAGAAATTTCCAGATTTTGTGAACATAAAACGATCTGGGCTCATACCTTCGGATGATACTGATGATTCCATGCAAGCTACACTTCTCTCAGACATTCTTTCAATTAAATAACTTCCTTTCCATTATGATTAATTTTATCCAGTGAAATAAGTTGGTATAGTATCCACTAGAATTCAGAAATTCTTGAAGCTCAAGGTTAGAACATGGTAGAATTTCCTTTTAAAGTCTTTTTGGAGTGAAATCTCTTTACAATGATTCCTGGGTAAGTTGTCCCATCCTCTAGTCTTCAGAGTCTTTACTGAACCTTGAAAAAAATAAAATAAATAAATTTAAAATGTATTTGTTTTTTCAGAATTTGGTGTGAGGTATCTCCAAATTTGGTGAAACCTGGCAGAGTAGCCAGTGAGAGAAAATCATCCAGTAGATATTTGGGCCTCTTTTTAGGGAAGTATTATCAATGAAAACTTACTTGCTATTTTTTTTTCTTCTTTTTGACAATGGTTTCATTTCCTCTTCTGTGATACTCCAAGTGAAAGGAATAGAAGAGTTTTGTTACCAGTGGCATAAAGAACTCTACTGAGCACCAACCTGGTGGGCAGTAGAGAGATAGTCCTAAGTGTCTGCAGTTCTGCAGGCTAGAGCAAATGTGGTAAGAAGGCATGTCCCAAAGGGTCTAGCACCCTTTCTTTAATACCCAGCTTTATCTTGCTTCCAAAAAATGTTACTGAGAATTTTTATATACAATACACTGTGTTAGGCACTCCAGGGAAGATAAATAACTCAGAATTTCTGTCATAATGTAAATAGAAATACACACACATGTTATATACATACACACATATATACATGCATGCATACATTCACACTTAAAGGAATATATCAGGGGCACCTGGGTGGCGCATTCGGTTGGGCATCAGACTCTTGGTTTTGGCTCAGGTCTGATCTTGGGGTCGTGAGATTGAGCCCTGCTTCAGGCTCCGCACTCAACATGGAGTCTGCTTGAGATTCTCTCTCTCCCTCTCCTGCTCCTACCCCGACCCCCCTTCACATAAATAAAGGAAATCTTTTTGAAAAAAGAATATACATCATTAGGATGCTTTGAGCTAGAAGAACTAGAATATTCCAACCGAAATGGAGTATACATGTATTTTATAAATGTACAAAGTATGCAATAATGTATAAAGTAAAAGTTTAAATGTATTACTTCATATAACAAGTCCAAACTTCAGGCAGCTTCTGATGCCATACAGTCAGGGCTTAGGCTCTATTTTTCTCCATTTCTCTTAGTTTAGCCCTTCTGTTAGCTTTGTCTTCAGACCAGATGACCACATGATTGTGAGAGAGCCATGGCAGTTCTGAGTATCATGGGCTGATAAGACAACATGCAGAGGCAGAAAAGAGAGTTTTCTCTTTCTTAAGAGATCAGGGATCCATTTTCAAGGAGAAAGGGGAGTGGATGCCGTCGGGAAACCTACAGTCAAGTAGAGAAGAGAGCATGAAATAGTGTGCTACATACTGTACAAGAGAGATATACAATCTATAATGCTTGTACCAAAAAGAAAATACTCCCTGTTTCTCAGCTGCGGGGAAGGTGGAGGGGATCAAAGAAGACTTCACTTGGGGAAGAGGTGGTTAATCCGTCCGGGGATTTGTTGAGCTTGACATACTGCGGGACCTCCAGGTGGAGAAAGCCAACAAACAGCTGGATGTATATGGTATAAGTCTCGGAAGTCTAGATCAAGAAGAAGACACAGTGGTGGTGAAGGCTGTCAGGATGGATGAGCTAATGGAGCAAGGACAGACTAGGACCAAAAAGGAGATCCTGAGGAGCACTGACATTTAAAGCATGGGTAAAATAAGAGGAGAGTTCACAGAGACAAAATAAAATGAATCTTTTAATGCCATCTGTGTGTGGGATGGGTGTAAGCCAACTAGAAATGACATTTTGTGATATTCACACATGTGATCTGGGTGAAGGACTGGTAAAAGCTAGGGACCTTTCAAAACCCATTATTTGCCCAGCAGCAGGTACTCTACTCTTAAGAAATTGGTTGAATGAGAGAGAGTTTTGCTGGAGGTATGGCTGGACCTGGACAGTCCCCCACCCAATGCAGAACGGGGGCATTACAATTCTAAAATGAGTCTCTTTTTCTTTGCAGGAGTGGTCACACATTACTTGCTTTCTGGTTTTCCCGCCAGGAGGGAAAACTAAACCGACAGCAGACTATTGAACTGGGACATCACATCCTCAAAGCACACATTTTTAAGGTAATTAAGAAAAGTTGAAGGCTTTTTTCTTTCTATCTCCAGCAGGCTTTCCTTAACACTGTGTATGAAGCTACTCTCATTTCAGTGTAGTCCCTGCTTTTTGTTACAAAATGTGGCCTGTCCCTCTCTAGGCTTTTGGAAAAGAGAACCACATTTGTCATCTCCCAGCTTAGCTGATTGCTAGACTTTTCAGGAAATGTACGTGGATAATCGCTTAGGTAAGAAGCATATACACACATATATGTGTGCTCCATGTATGACTACTCTCCTGAAGACAGGCACGCTGTAGCAGTTAGTTGCAGATTTTCACAATGTCTAAAAAAAAAAAAATCACTGAGAGCAGTTACTCTTTCAATTTTCTTATAATTGTTTTTTGAAGATTTTAATATTCCTAGTGCTACGATTTTCCAACTATTTATCTGGAACCAACATTAACCTTTCTTTGAGCTACTTCCCCCATTCTCCATTCAAACTGTAATCCTGGTTTTTCTCTCAGTAGTTTCAAAACTTCTAAGAACTCTATGGCATCAGCTTCCCTCTCTCAGCATTCACAAGCTGGGATGGACACATAATGCTGGAGGACAGAACATACTTTGTCTGTGCATGTATGCGTTCATCTGTTTATTCAGCACTTATGTAGGCATTGTACTAGGGATACAAAACAGAAAAAGATAAAGTCCCTAATCTCAAGGAATTTAGAGTCTAAGTAACAGTTGTGGGATAAAGCACAAAAGTCGGGAAAGAAATTTGTTCTCCTGGTTTTTCTAGCCCACAGTTTGCTATTGCATTGCTTATTGCATTGCTACCTCCAGTTCCTGCAGTCTCTTCAGAGTGCTTTTCCTGCCTCAGGATGGAGAAATACAAGTATCTTAAATAGTTCTCTGTGTCGGACTTCCCACCCCCCCACCCCCCAGGGGATACCGTTGAAGATAAAAGAGTTCTCTTCAGAGAGAAGGATGGCATTAAGGGCAGCTCCGAAAGCCTAGCAAATTCTTCCCAGTATATAAGCGCACAGCTGGGAGAAGCCTGATCGACAGACATACAGAAGTGGAACTCATGGTGACAAGTCCTTTATTTGAATCATAATTGTCTTATCTAACAAATCGCTGTACCAAAAATGACTCTACCCAGTGACCTTACTTAGTGGGAGCAGAGTGAGACTAAAATAACAGGCCAGGTGTCTCATTCCAACTTCAAGTGGACCAAAAAGTCTCTGCTACTTCTACAAACTCTGAGATCATTATCCTTCTGTTAGATAGGAAAGTAACATAAGTATTAAGCATTACCGCTTTAAACACTTAAGCTTTTAGCCTCACCATCTGCCTAGGATCAGATGCAAAGAAGTTGATTCCTGTCTTTTCTGTACCATAAAATAAACAAATGCTGCATTAACAGATAAATGATATGAAATTTCTTTGACCCAGTGTGATTATATCCAATACACGGAAACCTACATTTAAAGCACACGCTCCTATCGTTGACACGGTTTTATCTTATGTTGCTACAGACAACATGGTTGCCTGAGATAAGACTGGCTCCGTGTGTGATTCAGGCCATAAATACTCGGGTGTGCAGCATATGGTGATGACATGACCGTGGCCTGAAGAATGTAGACTTGGACTATGGCTTTCCTGATGGTCCACTTTTCAGGGTCCTTTAAATGCCCAGTGCTCCCTGTTGATTCACTTTAGCTTCTCCCAGCTGCTAGAATTTTCAGTCCCCATCAGTTGAGGGTCATGAAAAGGCAAAGACAGACTCTGTGGTTATAACCAGTACCATTCAGAACTTCCAATCAGCAGTGACATATCGTCCAATTTATATTTCTTTCCAATTAATTTTAAATTCCCTTTGTTTTATCTTTGTTCATGAAAAATTGTGTACAATGTCATTAACCACCTTAAAAGTACGAGGTTGTAGGCCTGTAATTCTGGATATTTGACTGGCTAAGGAGCTCTTTTCATTCTTTTTGTTTTTAACAGCTTTATTGAGGTATAGCTTATATACCGTAAAAGTAACCCATTTTAAGTGTACAAATCAATGACTTTTAGTGTATTTACAGAGTTGTGTAACTATCACTACTATTTGTACATTTCCATCACCCTAAAAATATACCTCATGCCCACTTCAAGGTACTCCCCATACTTCCTGGCAACCACCAATCTGCTTTCTGTCTCTATAGATTTGACTTTTTTACACATTTTATATAAACAGAATCATACAGTATGTGGCCTTCTGTGTCTGGCTTCTTTCACTTAGCAGGTTTTCAGGGTTCATCTGTGTTGTAGCATGTATCACTACTTGATGCCTTTTTTTTTTTTTTAGATTTTTAAAATGTATTTATTTTAGGGGTAGAGAGAGCGCACATGCGCAGAGGAGAGGAGCAGAGGAAGAGGGACAAGCAGACTGCACGCTGAGCACAGAGCCCAGTGCAGGGCTCAGTCTCACAACCCTGAGATTGTGACCTGAGCCGAAATCAAGAGTTGGATGCTTAACCAACTAAGCCACCCAGGCGCCCCACTTGATTCTTTTTACTGCCAAATAATATTCTGTTTTGTAGATATACCATAGTTTATTTATCCATTCACCAGTTGGACATTGGGTTTTTTCTGCTTTTTGGCTATTGTGAATAATGTTGCTATGAATGTTAGCTTACAGATTGTTCCCTTTTTTGATTTTTTTAAAATAAAATTATCCATTTGAAAGTGAACAACTCAGTGGCACTTAGTACACTTACAATGTTAGTGTTCAGGTTTTTATGTGAACATGTCTTCACTTCTCTTGGATATATACCAGGATGGAATTACTAGGTCATATAGTAACTCTGTGTTTAACATTTTGAGCAATTGCCAATCTGTTTTCCAAAGTAGCTGCATCGTTTTACATTCCCACCAGCAATGTATGAGAGTTCCAGTTTTTTCGAGCCCTTGCCAACACTTGTTAGATATTGTCTGTCTTATTGTAGCCATTTTAGTGTGAAGTGGTATCTCACGGTAGTTTTAATTTGCACTTCCCTAATGACCATGGTGTTGAGCACTTATAGTTCTTTTGTAATCCTCTAATTGCCATTTAGATTTTTTTTTTTTAATCTATGAAAAGAAAGCAGTCTGTTTGTGAATTGTGGCCAGAGATATTTCAATCCGTCTTGGAATGCAGGGTGTTTCGTTGGATTGAGTCTGGCCACCAAAAGGGTTTCAGAGTGCTCTTGCAATTAACCGCCTAAATGCTGCCCTCTGAAATGTTTCTTTGATTGGTCAGTTCTTTAACATTTCTTACCAGAACAGATCTCTTGGCCAGAGGGGAAAGGTGCTATAAGTAGGCATCTAGTAGGTAGAAGAAAGATCCTTCGACATCAGTCAAAAGGCATGGGTTCAAGTACAGACTCTACCACTTAACTTAAGCAGTCTGTTTTCTCATCTGTAAAATGGTAACAATATCTAACTCTCAGGATTGTTATAAGGATCATAGATATAAGATATATAAAAGAGGTACATTATAAGATGCAAAGTACTAGACATATATCTAAGGTTTTGTGATCAAAATTATTGGTAATAATTTCTTGCCTGATAGTAAGAATTAATAATGAGCATAAATTCCAGATGGTGATATAACCTTTTCAGAGGCTACCTAGCATCCTCTACAGCAGTGATCAGCAAATATGGCTTTGTAGTCCATATAATCTGTGTTGAAACCACTTAACTCTGCCATTGTAATTCAAAAGCAGCTAAAGATGATACAGAAATAAATGGATATGTTCATATTCCAGTAAAACATGATTTATAAAAACTGATGAAAGGCTGGATTTAGCCCCAGGCTATAGTTTGCCAACCCCTTTGTTTACCAGGATCTTTTCATTATAACCAAACATGGCCACACAGATGGTCTGGTAAGAATAGTAATGATTTATTTGAGATGCTAGGGTGACTATAGGTGAGACACTAATGATATATTTGTAAATAATTTGCCTTAAAGAACCTCATTGGTTGAGCCCCCTAGGTAAGTTTTTGCCATGATCTTAACATACGTGAGCGAGAGCTAAGATCCCTAAGTTGAGATTGCTGTCATTTCTTTATGCCTTCCTTGTTGGTATTTAAAACTACTGAGCAGGCTTTCTCCCAGCTGATAAACAGTGTTGTAAATTTAGACTCTAACAAATATTTAAGGAAGGGACTCCATTACCATCTATCTCTGACAAAAAGAGATCCCTTGCTGCCTGAGCAGTAGTTACAGATACTAAAGAAACACTTTTTCTAGTTATTTGAACTTAGGGTTCTCTTTAAGAACCCATCAGCTCAGAATTTAATTACATGTTATTTTTGGCCACATCCTGCCTGATAATGGGATTCTGCCTATCACGTCTGTTGAGATGAATTTAACTAAACTGAAACTCTTTCCTCTTATACCTCATAGAAGCAGAAGAGTCAGCCCCACCAAGCAGAAGAAATCAGTAGAGCAAGTCCATGGCACGAGTAAAGCTCATATTCCAAATCCTAGAGTCTAGCTCTGTATTTCAGGCTTCTTTCCTATGTATTTACTTCAACCTCACTGGGACCCTCAGTGCTGCTTTGTAGTCCAGTTACTGGACCATTTCATTGAAGTTCATTTACAAAGGTCTATTCTTACTCAGTTCCTTTTTCCATTTCTTTTTTATCTGGCTCTTAACCAAGTCGACTAATTCCAAAAACAGCCTGACTTATGAGTCACTGAGTAAATCAAAGCCATTGAGTGTGACTTCCCTTAACCACTCTCCTCCTCCCACCAAAAAATCAATCTACAGTATCATCAGTTCTTACCTCCCTTTCTCTCGTCTCTGAGGAAGAAATATCCCTATCCCCCCCTTTTAAAATTATATTTTAAACATACCAGAAAGCACAGATAACTGAATAATCAAATACAATCTACCAGATTTAACAGATGCTAAGATTTTTCCATATTTGCTTCAAATCTTTTTCTTTATTTTGAAGAAATGAAAATGTAACACATAGAGTAGAGCCCTCTGTTAACCCTATTTCTCTCCCTTTTAGAGATAATTTCTACCGTAAGGTTCACATATATTCTTCTTATCCATATTTTGCATTTTTTCAACATAAAAATATATTCATAAACAGTATACAGAATTATTCCATTAATTTTTACATTTGACATAAACAGAATCATTCTTCATGTAATTCTGTAACTTTTTTTCACTGAATTTTGTTCAGATTTATCTGTAGGTCTAGATCAATGGCCAGTAGCTTTCAATTTTGGCTATACATTAGATTCTCCTGGAGAACTTTAAACACACACACGCGCACACACACACACACACACACACACACACCCCTGTGCTTTACTCCCAGAGATTATCATTCATGGTTCTGGAGTAGAACCCAGGCTTTTTTTTTTTTTTTTTCTTAATAGTCTTACTTTCTTAGAGTAGTTTTAGGTTTACAGAAAATACAGAGAATTTCCATTTACTCACTCTCCCACCACAGTTTCCCCTATTATTAACTTCTTGCACTGGTGTGGTACATTGTTATAATTGATGAACCTATATTGACATATCATTAACTGAAGTCCATAGTTTATATTAGGTTTTAACTGTGTTTTATGCTTCTGTGGATTTTGCCAAATGCCTAATATGTATCCACCATTACAGGATCATACAGAAGAATTTCACTGCCCTAAAAATCCTAAAGCTATCAAAAGTATTCCTAGCTAATTCTGCAGAATTAGCAAACACATCGAGGAGAAAAGTAGCTCTAAACTGCTCTCCTGGGCTCCATCCTATCCTTACGTGGTCTAGTAATTCTTCTCCAACCTGTTATTCCTCCCATGTCTTCAGTGAGGATAATTTTTAAATTTTGTAGAGTTTTTCCTAACTGTCCTTAGCAGGATCAAGTTTAGATCCACCATTACCAGAAGTATAGCCAAGTCCCCTTGAGCAGAAATTATGACTTGGTATTCTGGGAACATCCACCTTTTCTCTGAACATCTTAGGCTTTCTCATTTAAAATTCCTTTGGTATCTTTGAATGACCAAAACTGTCCTGGGTATCACACAGAAAAAAAGAAGCAATTTATATTCAAGAAAACTAAACCCAAACTTAGAGGCCCTGAGCAGAGGAATGAGTTGCTGTATCTTTCTGAGAAGTTAAATACAACATTTTCTAAACTCGCTCTGATGCTGGAGACCTTGAGCAAAAGTAGAATTGCTGTGTGACTTTAATAAACACTGGTCCAGCATTCTTCTTCTGTAGGATAATCTTTATAATATTCTGTGGATTAAGTGAACATATCTAAGGAATTTCACGTAAGTCAGTATTTAAGAGAAAGTTGGCTATTACAGGTCATAGTCACAGTTGTGCTTTAAATATCATAGTTAGAAAAGAAATAATGCTTAGTTGAAATCGTAAGAGCAAAGCCCATAGAAGTAGATCAGATTGTCTAGGATAAAAAAGGACAATTTTGGAGAAGGCACTCAAGGGTGGAGAATGGTTCAGAATTAAAGGTAAAGGGAGAAGCCAGCAATCAGCTGCTTTGTTTATTTTAGTTGCTACTTTTCCAGCTAAGAATTCAGAATTAAAGTCCTGGCTCAGGTTTAACTTGGTCTAATGGAAGGAACATGAAGTTTAGAGTTAAAAGGACTTGGCTTCTAATTCCAGCTCCACTTTTTAATGGTTGTAGGACTTTGGGCAAATTACTTAGCCTTCTCTGGGTTGTTTCCTCCTATATAAAAATAGTAATAAATTCAACTTCACAGGACTGTCATGGAGATTAAAGAAACTAACATGAAAAGGCCCTAGCATAGAGCCTGACACATAGCAGATACTGAATAAATGTTGGATTCCCTTTCTTTTTTTCCTTCAACCATAATATATAGAGCTTGTCTTCCATTACTAAAAGCTTCCTCTGTTGAATTATAAATATCAATTTATAATGATTTTTCTGTATAATTGTTTAATACAGTTTACAGTTCCTCAAAAGATCTTGGTGAGGCTCACACATAGTCCAGATTAGGAGACTGAGGCCCAAAGAAGGAGTCAGAGCTAAGTTTCCTGGTTTGCCAGGATCTGCGGTAGAGGTGAGCTCTAGAACCTAACTTATCTGTAAGTAAATTATGATACATCCATATAATGGACTACTATATCTCTCTTGAAATAGAATGAGGCAAAAGCATGTGTACATGTATGGAAATATGTGCACAATATTTTGTTTAAAAAATTAATATAAGAAAATCTCATTTTCCCTTTACGTTTTTAAAGTGTTTTAAAATTGGTTATAGTATATGGATCTTTTACAGATTACAATTTAGAAAAAAAATTATTTCTTTTTTTGAGACAGTCAAGGAAATTTGAACACTGGATATTTCATATTATAGAATCCTTGTTAATTTTAGGTATCATAATGATGTTGGGCTTTGTCTTAAAAAGAGCCTATATCTTTTTAGAGGCATTTACTGAAATAGTTGTATATTAACTGATAAGATGTCTGGGATTTGCTTCCAAATAATTCAGTGATGGGGAAAGGAGAATAGGATCAGGAGTATAAATGAAACAAGGTTGGCCATGAATTGCTGTTTTAGACATAAGTAGGTATTCTAGGCAAGAACAACCAGCATTTCAAGGAACAAAGCAGGCAGAAGTAGCTTAACTTTTTAAGGAGAATACCTCCCCAGATTCACTTATTAGGTGCCAAACTTCACTGTTAGTATCTTCCTTCCTTGGATTGGCTTTGCTGGGCCTGGACCTAGTTAGGGCAAGACTCTATTCTCATTTCTTAGTACAACAAACCTAGAAGTCACTCACTACTCATGGTACTCTTCAGCCGGGCTAATAATTTAACTGTCTCTATTTCTTTTTCAGGGTTTGAGTAAAAAAGTTGGTGTGTCATCTTCCATCCTCCAAGGTCTCTGGATCTCCTATAGCACAGAAGGTCTTTCCATGGCATTGGCATCTTTACGAAATCTCTACACTCCAAATATAAAGGTAGATGCTTGTGAATTACAGATAGATTAAAGAATTAGTTGTGCAGAAATAAAATTGGGACATTTAAGTGGCTATTTAACTGATATTTGACTTAACCTTAGACTATCTCCTATCAGTCAGCCTTTTATTGATAATCTAATATATTTGAAATTGTTGCATTTTATTCTGTGAATTGAAGACCAGACCTGTTGAGCTACTACCTTCTGGCTCTGGTTTATAGGATTAGGTCCTCCTGCTTCTAGGCAGTAAATTGATCTCAGGTAGGCTTTGTTCGGGTAGGAGCTTTTCTGACCAACAGTTCACTTAGAAGAGGCTGTGTTCAGCACTATAGTGTGGGTGGCGTCTGCTCTCATGACTGAGCAGTTCATGGAAAGGAGACATTTCACAACCCTTTCTGAAGGCAAGGTATCAAAAAAGGAACAAGTGAAGATTATAAAATAAAGCAGTTACTAAGTGCTACTAGGTGCTGTTGTGGGGTCCCTGATGACTTAATTAAAGATGACTGAAAGGATGCAACTGAAACTTGCCTAAGTGTAATTTCTGTGTACTTATTTCTAGGTCAGCCGACTGCTGATTTTGGGAGGTGCCAACATTAATTACCGGACAGAGGTTTTAAATAATGCTCCAATTCTGTGTGTCCAGTCTCATCTTGGTTATACAGAAATGGTGGCCCTGCTTTTGGAGTTTGGGGCCAATGTGGATGCCTCTTCTGAAAGCGGCCTGACCCCTCTGGGCTATGCAGCGGCGGCTGGCTTCCTGAGCATTGTTGTACTTCTGTGCAAGAAGCGTGCCCAGGTAATGGCTGCCCCACTCTGATGCTTTGCCTGTCCTCCCTTTCTCTTCCTCCCTGCCGTGGAGTCTTCCTTGTCTCCTGTGTCATCTCATGAGTCTAGGCAGAGCACATCAAATCCAGTAGGGCACAGATCACGGGGAATACTGGCTGTGCAGACGTCCCAGTGCTGGCACACTGGCCACTGCCCCTTCCGCACCACAGCAGAACATGGTTCTAAAGCCCTTGGGAGGCACTTAGGAAGCTGCATTTATCAGCAGCCACAAAAAGTCCCCACCTAACAACCAGGGAATTCTCCGCTGAGCACAGAGGGAGGAAGGAGAAGTGAAGGAGCAAAGAGACTGCAGTGGGAAGTCAGAACTGAACCGTGCCCACAGCCTTTCATGTGTAGAGAAGAGAAGTTAGCCCTGGAGGTAAGAACAGAGGCCAGACTCCCTCACCCTAGCCTTGAAGACCAGCATCATAGAGGTGTGAGGAGGACATGACTCTCTGTGTTTATACTCAAACCCACCAGAGGCACTAGGCAGTGTATCTGCTAGTGAACTTCAATTCTCTGAAGACCTTTCTAAAAAAGTGTTTGCTTTATAGTATCTCAAGAGCTGCTGATATAAAAGAACTCAATTTCAAAATTTTGGTGAGAAGAAAAATTCCGGTCTCAACAATGTAAGCCTCTGGGGAAAATTGTAGCCTTGTGGCATTTTGTTTCAGTCTTGAAAACAGACTGAGGATTTGGGTGGTTTTGCACTGAAATATAAGTAATATGTGTGACCTCGTTCTAAGATGTCCAGTGTTCTCACCAGGGAAGAAAGGGGGACTCTTGAGACTTTTGAGAACTGGGACCTGAGACTCTCAGTGAAGTTCCAGACCCCTAGGTGTCTACTGTGACACAGACCTATAACGTCCACCTATAATGTCCTATTCATTTGAATGAACATCTCATCTCTAAAAACAGAACAACTGGGCCTTATTACTACTGCTGTGAATTCATATCCTCATCTCAGTTGGGACCTCCCTACTGCCCAGTTACCGTTCCATACATCTCTATTTTCCCCAGAGCAGATACGGGAATCATTTGCATTCTCCTCCACACCCTGCCACACCTCTTGGCCTCCTACATTACCAAGACTGAGTTCATCTCCATGTGCCTCCATCTCAAAACTCCGTTAATCCTTACCAACACTCACTTCATGTCTGCCTCAGAGAAGGAAATGTTTACCATCCTTCCCAAAGCACTTGCCTCCACCAGTATTTTTTATCTCTACATGTTGCTTTTCTCTCACAATTCGTTTCACTCTTTTCCTAAATTCTCAACAAACCGGGACGCCTGGGTGGCTCAGTTGGTTGAGTGTCTGCCTTTGGCTCAGGTCATGATCCTGGGGTTCTCTGATCAAGCCCCGCATCGGGCTCCTTGCTCAGCGGGGAGCCTGCTTCTCCGTCTGCTTCTGTGCACACACTCTCTCTCTCTCTCTCTGACAAGTAAATAAATAAATAAATCTTTAAAAATAAAAAATAAATTCTCAACAAACCGATGAATGTCTCCTATAACCCAAAAAAGCAGCTGCCCTCTCTCCTGCCGACCAGGGCTGCGGTCCCATCCCTTCCCTTCCATATCCACCAGTGCTACCCAAAGAGTCCTCTCTACTTGCCACCTCTGCTTCCTTACTGGCCCTTAACCATTTTTAGTCTGGCCTCCATGAGAGAAAGAGGCATTAAGTCATTAAAATCATAAACTTTGGGATCAAACACAACTTGGTCAAAGCTTCCATTTATACTTCCTTTCCCTGAGGGCTTGGGCAAGTCATTTAACCTCTCAGTCTCACTGTTTTCATCTATAAAAAGGATTAGTGGGGTCACCATGAGAATTAAAACTGAGAAAGCCTTTTTAAAAAGAGATGAAATCTTGGGGCACCTGGGTGGCTCAGTCAGTTAAGCGTCTGACTCTTGATTTCGGCTCAGGTCCTGATCCCAGGGTCGTGAGATTGAGCCCTGCGTTGCGCTCAGTGGGGAGCCTGCTTCCTCCTCCTCCCTCTCCCTCTGCCCCTCCCCCCGCTTTCTCTCTCTCAAATAAATAAATCTTTTTAAAAAGAGAGATAAAGTCTCTTTTCATCTCTTGCAGGGTCTAATAAATAATACTCTTTAAGAAAAGAAGGGGGGGCACTCCCGGCTGGCTCAGTCGGTAGAGCATGTGACTCTTGATCTCAGGGTTGTAAGTTCAAGCCCCATATTCAGTGTGGAGATTATTTAAAAACAATATCTTTTAAAAAAAGAAAAAGAAAGAAAACACCTAACCTCTTGTCATTCAACTGAAGCTACTCTCGAAAGTCACAAACAACTGCCGACCACCAGATAAAGTAACTTTCTGTCATTTCTCACCCTCTAAACCTGTCCATAGTGTTGGCGGTATTGACACGGCACTTTGCAGAACTCGCAGGGTGGTCCTAGTTCTCCTGCCCGTCTGGTTGCTCTTCTCTCTTCCTTCTCCTAATGTCACTGTTCACTGAGATTTTGTCCTCTCGTCTTCTCCATCCTCAGACTCTCTCCCACGGCATCAGCACCAAAGTACTGAAGAATACAATACTAGCCAGTTATTTGTGGGATGTTCTTCGGTTTTAGTTTGAGATTTTTCTCATCGTTAGGTTGAGTTTATGTATCATCAGCAAGAATACCACAGAAGTGCTGCCGTGCCCTTATAACGCAGCTCTTTGGGAGGTGTATGCCCTTGCTGTGTCCTATCACGGGATGCTAACCTCGATCACCTGGCTCGGATGGTGTCTTCCAGGTTTCTCAGTTATGAAGTTACTCTTTTTCCCCTTTGTAATTAAGAAGTATCTTTGAGAGAGAGATGCTTTGAGACTAGACAAATATCTTGTTTCTCATGCTTTTGTCCACTGATTTTAGGATCCATCAAAGATTCTTGCAGTAACAATTGCTCTGGTGTTTTTACGTTTTCTATTTCCCTCATTCCTTCAGCATTTATTAATTAGAATTTTGATGTAAGGAAGAGCTGTCCCTTCTCCCCTATATATGTATTTTTTTAATTATTTATAGTACTACGGATTCCTTTATTTATTTTATACTAGGACCTATAACCCATTGCCATTATTATTTGTTGCTCAAATTGCCCAAGATTTGGCCTTTGGAAGCCCCTTCAAGTTGGCTCCTGTATCCTTTCAGCTTCCGCTAAAGTATTTTATGAGCATTTCGGTACTTTCTGGCACCACCAGATTTTCCACACTCATCATTTACTATTAATGCCCCAGCCCCAGGAATTAATCATTTCTCCAAGGAGCCAAAGCATCTTTTACTCACCCCCTAGTTTTTGAAAATGTAGTATGAGCATGAAAATTCTCAATGACTATCCATGACCTCTGATTCAAATTCAGGCCACTTAGCCTGGCATTCAGAAATATCCCTGCTCTGGTCCCAGAAGACCCTCTCAACTTTGTAGTTTAAACTTGCCTTCCATGTACCTTACCCTTGCAAAAACTAGAGTTAATCATTTCCTATCTCAGCCAGCTGAGATGGACCTTTTCTGAGTCTGTTTGGGCTGCTATAACAAAATACCACAGACGGAGTGGCTCGTAGACAGCATTTATTTCTCGCAGTTCTGAGGCTAAGTCTCAAGATCACGGTGCCAGCAGATTCGGCAGCTAGTGAGAGCTTCCTGGTGTACGGCCAGCACCTTCTTGCTCTGTTCTCCTGTGGTGGAGGAGGGAAAGCAAGCTCTCTGGGGCCCCAATAGTAGGACACTTCTCACTTCCCAAACATCCCATCTCCATTTAATATCATTACACTGGGGGTGAGAATTCCAACATATAATTTCAAGGGAACAAAAGCATTTAGACTATAGCACCTTTCCTTCAGAATCTGTCCCTGATTCTAGTTAGGCATTCTCTCCAGTTTCATTGCACTTGTACTTTCCTTATGACAGTCTTTATCCTTTGTTGAATAGGTTTTTGTCACACTGGTCACATCTCCCCTACCTTATTTGAAAGTCCTTGAGAACAGAATCTATATTTTACTACCTTATTCACCTTTTCATGCTAGGTGGTACCTTGCACAAAGTAGGCATTCAGTAAACATTTGTTAAATATATTGCTGGTGGGTCAGAATGGCTAAAATTAACAAGTGAGGAAACGACAGATGTTGGCGGGAATGTGGAGAAAGGGGAACCCTCCTACACTGTTGGTGGGAATGCAAGCTGGTGCAGCCACTCTGGAGAACAGTGTGGAGGTTCCCATAGAGCTACCATACGATCCAGCAATTGCACTACTGGGTATTTACCCCAAAGATACAAATGTAGGGATCTGATAGGGTACGTGCACCCCAATGTTTATAGCAGCAATGTCCACAATAGCCAAACTGTGGAAAGAGCCAAGATGTCCATTGACAGATGAGTGGATAAAGAAGATA